CTGAGCTGTCACGTGTTCTTGGAGGGGCCTGCTGGCCAGCCTCTTACCAAAAGACTATGGGCCCTTTAAAAACTATGTGAACAGACTTGTTTCGTGGGATTTTATATTTGGTTCGGGAAACCGAACAGTCGCACAAACCGGAGACCACCCTGGAGCGTGTTAAGCCTAATTGCTACTTTGTAGCAATTTTCACCGCAGTATTCTAAGTGTTCATCTGGGTGGCCGCAATTCCTATGGACGACCACGAGGTGGCGGACATCTTGTTCACATGAAAGCAGGCAGCGGTGTTTGGGCATGAATCTCATGGAACTAAAAACGGACACAGAAACTCCCAAACACCGCTGGAATTCCAGCATCGTCTGCGTTTGGTTCCACAACACTTAGAAAAGCGCTGTTCGGTGGAAACGAAAAAGGGGATCAAGCTCCAGGGTAAAACTATTGACTCTGTTCGGTAGTTTGTTCGTTTTTAAACTACTGTACTAGACCGACCACAAGCCCTGATTCTCTGGAACTGTTTTGGGCATGGAACCATGCGGGTGTTTGGTCAAAATTAAGACTTCCAGGAAATTCCTGAACCCCTGAACTGATATGGGTGATTTTTTGGATATGTTGGTCACCCAGATCAGGGCTATTAGGGGATGTAACTTTTGTGGGGATTTTGTGTGTTTGGTACTTTTGGGGTCTTTGGAAAATGTGTGTTTTTTGTGTTTGGAGATAATTGAGTTTAGTATAGTGCTTGACTCAATTATCTCCCAGGCATAAGGGGGGGGGGGGGGGGGGAATTTACCTGTTGTGTATGGGAGTGTCCTGGACCTGAGACCCAATGTAATTGTGAATTGTTTCTACTGTGGTTTACACTCAGGTCCACGGGGGGAGTGCCCCTTGCATGGGGACGGTCATAAAAGGCCAGTTGTGGCTACTATTAAACAGAATTCATTTTACCCTTCATGAAGTCTAGGCTCATGTTTGGGGGATTGGATACCCAGTTGGGGTGCCAGGCGGTCCGTCACACCATTTATATGCCCGCCCATGGATTTACTGAAAACAATGTTATACTATATCTGACAAAATTTATATACATGGGCCTATGTACTCCGCCTGTCTGTTTTTCCATTGATCCATCCATTAATCCATCTATCCCCTATAAATATGTACATTAATTACACAAAATCAAACAATATGTCAATCAATCCTATCGCTATACGTATGGTGCTATTTTTCACGAATTCAGCTCCACTGAAAAAAAAACCCTGTAATTGCAATATCCACACCTGTGCTATGGTTAACTACATGCCTGTTTTTCTGTTTGTTTTTTAAGGAAATTAGCGGAAAGCAGAAAGAGAGAGAGAAAGAAATAGAGAAATGGAGATCACATGTATACACAAACACATTGCTCCCCAACAGCTGAATAAAATAATGTGGCAATGAGTTTATCAGAAAATAATATTGTGTTGGTGAGAAAAAAAGCCTATGTTTTGTGGTCACTGAAAGATTGCTGATGGAAGCTTAAATAAAGGATTGCTTGAACATCTGTTCTTTGTTGTGCATTCAGCTTTTTAATGTCTTCAAAGACCAGCTCTGACGCATCAGTGACTACCACTCCCCATCCAAACTACACTGTATCACAATATAATATGTGTTTCCAGCGGGTGCCATGAGCTTAGAGTCCAGTTATATGGATATTGTAATATTTCTTGTCTTTTTAACCTCTTCTTCTCCTGCATTGCATTGCATGTGTCCTATTATAATAATACAGCAAAGGTAAACAGTCACCTCAAACATTTATTCTATAAATGGTCTCACACTTCACAAGGAATTAATATCATGCCTACAATTTTTATCTTTCTTTCTTCTGTTTCTGTAATTCACAATAATGAAGTCTGACAGCAAGCTAAAAATGTTAGGAAATAACAAATGTATATGGTAAATTAGATCATAATAATAATCAAAAGAATATATTTACAAGTTAAATAAAATCTGACAAAATGGATCATTTGCCATCAGTTTGCAGGGTTCAGATATACATATATATTATATATATGAATCTGGCAAGGATAATTTAAAGAAGAGAACATGTCGCACAGCTGTCGTGCAAAAACTATTAATACGCAATTAATGAAAATAACACAATATTGTTCTGTTGAAAAATAGCAATAAACAGAAGAGCCTAACAAAACAATGCAGGCTTGTTAGCTGGGATAGCAAATTTTCATCTGTAAGGAAAAAAACAAACAAAAAAAACAGTCACCTTTAATTCATACAACCCTAATTCAATATGAGACAAAAAAAAAAAAACATTGGAAAAGTTGGATTGGGTAGCATAGTGTCACTTGTACATTTTATGCTTCCAGGGGCCCTACAAAGAGTTCTGCATTTTCCATCTGTCTTGAACATCTGCCATACCTGACCAAATACAACAAATTCAAAGAATATGAGAACTCTGAGAATTGACAAAAGCTTAGTATATTTTGTATAGGATTTGGATTCAAAAGTACCAATTTTAATCTAGACACTGGATCAGTTAGATGTATACACATTATACGTTAAGATAAATTTTTCTAAAACAGAATATGACCGACCTTGGCCAATAGAATAGCCTGACGTCTTCATGGCATGATTTAACTAGGTTCTGGAAAGATTCCTTCAACATTGTTGTCCATGTTGACAAGATAGTTCATGCAAATTTGATAGTTGTAATTTCGTAAGAAACTCCAATATAATCACATCGCAAACATGCTGAGTTCTGGTGACTTTGACACCCATTGGATATAATAGGGGTAGGCGACATTCAGCACTCCAGATGATGGGGGCTACGTCTTCCATGATGCTCTTATAGCCATACTGCTGACAAAGTATCGAGATGATGTAGTCTACAATATCTAGAGTACTGAAGATCGCCTATCCCTGCTATAGAATATGATCTTTTTACCTTTTGCAATCAACTCTATATGTCTCATACAAATAAGCTCCTAAATTCCACAAACAATCAAACTGCTAAGGAAAATATAATTCCTTTAAAGACCTACAGTTATACTCAGTGAAACCATTTCACACCCACTGGTGTCTTTTTCACAGGACAGTAGTACTTAAAGGGACACTATACTCACCAGTAGGGATGTGCATGGGGAAAACATTCGGTTTGGTACGGAATTTTGGATAAGTAAAAAAATTTGTCTGCTTCGACAATTCGGTCATTTAGTGTCTCCACCCTCTGCATGGAGATACTGAACTTTCCTCATAGAGATGCATTGATTCAATGTATCTCTAAGGATATGCTGATTGGCCAGGGCTGTGTTTTGCTTGTGCTGGCTCTGCCCCTGACAGTCTCAGCCAATACAATGCTTTACTATGTGAAAGCATTGTAATTGGCTCAGAACACCACTTCTAATGATGCCAGCCAAGCAGGCAGATCAGGGGTAGAGCCAGCAGCAGACTGTAATAAAAGTAAGGTTGTGTTATATTTAGGGGGGCTAGATGTAAATACATGTTTGTGTCCCTGACCCTATAGTGTTCCTTAAGAAATAGGATAGCATGTGTAACAAACTCCCAGCTTACATATCAGCTGTTGATCAGCCTCCTATTTACTTACATATGTAATGCATATATAGTTTAGATTTCTATAAAATACAGCCATCTACTCATATGGATAAAGGCTGTATAATACACTACTCTTTCTAACAAATATAACAGGACAACACAAAATTAATAATTAAAATGCTACATGCAACAAGATGAAAATATAACTTGCTAGAGAAGCTTATAAATAATATCACATTGATGGAGGAGTTGTAAGGATGTGAGCACAGTGCAAAGTAACAATACTAAATGTATGACAATATATACTAAATATGTTTTTGTGATTTATTGTGTTGTGATATATATCAAATATATAAAAAATAAAAATGAAAGTATATAATTATGCGATACTAATTCAAAAAAGTGCTGCAGTTTTGTGTGGAAACAGGTTTGTAAGTATAAGCAATACTCTAGTAATAAATGTGGGCTGGCATGTGCAATCAACAATTCCTTGAACTGACACAAGGATATAAAAGGCGAAACCCACTTCCACATTTAAAAATGACCTTCCCAAAAACATAAATCTACATTTGCTACTAATGCTTAATTTGTATGGCTTGACTAAAAATTACATACACCTCACTAGGGAACTCACCGCATACGAGCAACTATGCGCAGACCCCGACCCACTGCCACATGGCATCTCGCACCTTTACGCCCTTCTACAAACGCTCACACCCATGGCCGCGCCACGCTTTATGAGGAAATGGGAGGAGGCCCTTAATCACACATTTAGTAGGGCCGATTGGGAAAAGATTTGTGAGGTCACCCACCACTGCTCCATTTTCAGCAAGAGTCAGGAGACAGCATATAAGATACTCACGCAATGGTATTGTACCCCAGACACGACTCAATACACGCATGCTCATGGGTCAAGCCTATGCTAGCGGTGCGCCAAGGCAACGGGCACGCCCCTACACATTTGGTGGGCATGCGAACTTGTACAACCATTCTGGAGGAAAATCCATAAAATAGCCTCCCGCTTCTCTGGCAACCCACCACCACTAGATCCGGCAGCAGTGCTGCTCCACCACACGACCATACCGATTTCTAAATACAAAAAGTCCCTTACAATTCGAATTCTAAACATGGCTAAGCAAACTATACCACAATACTGGAAGAAAAAAGAGACCCCTTCCATACTTAAATGGTTCACCCACATGGAAGAACTACGAGTGGTAGAAGAGCTCGCCATGTTAGCTACTGAAAAACAACATCAGACATACCTAGACATTTGGATCCACTGGATATTGACCACGACGAAACAAGACTTCCTGACGCTGCTCCATACCTAATGGCAGGGAGCTACACAGGCTGGATAGGCACATGGACGACAGACAGACCCTCCTCCTCCTTCCTCACCCTTACCTTACCCCTCCCCTCCTCTCTCATATGTTAAAACTAGGGACACCACCCAACTGTCGCACAGGTTAAACAGACATTGGAAACACACTCCCCAGTACTCATATCCCCCTCCGAAACAGGACTCCTGCCCACTATATCACTACAGCCCGTCGATAACTAAGGTCCTCACTAGACACGACCTTATAAGAACACGTAACGACCGGACCGTGCTTGTCCCTTTCGCACGCACAGATAATACAACCATGTACACCTGAATACTAGGGGGGCAATAGCAGGGAGAGCATCAGACAGTATAGAGGTAGACAATTGGAGGGGCCATGCCCGGCCTGAAGGGCTAGCAGACTGGTTGAAGGTGGATACACAGCTGCAAACAGCACAGGAACACATGATTACTGAGAACAACCTGGGAGGGTGGGGTGGGGGGTTCACCTACTTAAGCTTTAATGTTGATACAAGGGACCTGCGAGTCCGACTTTGCTGTTGGGCCTGCGTGCCCGCCTGTTGATTGTTTTCTTTACGTTGACTACAAAATACAGACCTGCGAGTCTGCATGATACTCACCTTTTATTCCCAAATACAGGAAATAAAAATCATATTTACAAAAAAAATTACATACACATCATTTCATTGTAACAAAATGTTATCCGTATCTACAGCTAGTAAGAATAGATATTGTAGCCGTATTAGTCCAGTGATGCAGCTAGTAATATATTTAATTGCCCTTGACTCCTCACCTTCTACACATCCAAACTGATGGCTATGTGGCAAACCACTTTAGAAACCACCATGTAGTAATAAGAGTGAATGGGAATTATTCATTATTTGGACTTTGAATGTCGGTTTTATATGTGTGATAATAGCAATTTGCATATTAAATTATATAATAGGTAAAACCCTTCTCCACAGAGTGTTTATGAGATTCTGATCCCATATAATTACTACTGCAGTCACAATTCTGCATGCACTGTTTAAGAAAAATTACTAATGTGTCCATTGCATGGATCATATATATTTATGATAATTTTCATCAAATTAGCAGTGAATAGTTCATTCACAAAATTTGCCTTAAAGAAAATCTAGTTCCTGATTCTATCCAATAGACTATTCATATCCGCTAACAGCTTGGTAATTACATCCTTACACTTACAGTATTTAGCACGTTAGCACCTACACACCTAGTAACTTGTCTTGTTCATTGTTATATGTTCCACACCTTTTACAATTTCTTTTAACATTTGCAGATTAGGTGAGATGCATACTTTAAAAAAAATAAGAAGTTCTACATAACCAGAAGAAACCTCATTGTTACGTGCCATACATGAATCACAAGTCCACTATTAAATACACTGCTATTTTGATATTCTAAACCAGGGTTAGGGAACCTTTGGAACTCCAGATTATGTGGACTACATCTCCCCTGATGCTTTGCCAGCATTATGGCTGTAAGATCATTATGGAGGATGTAGTCCACAATATCTTGAATGCCGAAGGTTTCCTACCACTCTTCTAAACCATATTATACTTTTGAAGAGTCCCTGATCTTTCCAAATATTGTTTCCATCCCAGGCACTATGGTGTCCACACTATTATTACAAACAGGAACACACAATTTTGTTGGTTTAAAGGGAAACCATCACTTTTTTGGAAGCCGAAGGCTGCCTATCTCTCTTCTAAACTATATTATACTTTTGAAGAGTCCCTGATCTTTCCAAATATTGTTTCCATCCCTCACTATGGTGTCCAAACTATTATTACAACAATTTTGTTGGTTTAAAGGGAAACCATCACTTTTTTGGAAAGTATATTAAACATTAGAAGTAATCTAATTTGTGTTTTAAGATTTGTTCATCCAATGCTCCATTTACATTTAAATCTATATTGAGTGGTTATCAATTTACATCCAGTTTAAGAGAGGTACAGCCAAGGCACACATTGCACTAGAGAGAAACATTGTTTTAGTTTTTCCTCCTCTACTAACTTTGACCCCTATTTAATATTGTTGGATAAGCTTTCTAAAGTAGTTAATGTTTTTGGGTGAACTTTTCAACTGACTTTTCCAATATATTAGAATATGAACACATATACATTATATACAAGGTATATCAATATGTAAAAAAAAAAAATCAAAATATTACAAAATTTAAATAATCTTCATAATTTTCAATTTGCAAAAAAATTTTATCCAAAGATATTAAATCATTTGGAAAGCTTATCGAACAATATTAAATTGAAGCCTATATTGTAAAACAGTAAATGGTATCTATTTTAGCAAAGATTGACAGTGAGCCAAGATGAAGGCAGCAGGTATAAGATCATGCAGAATGCATTACTAAATTTAATTGTATTTTTCAGATTTCACAATCAAATATTTTGTAACTACATGGGAGTAAGCATAATGTTAAAAATCCACCCAGAGACCCCCTGGACCTCTGAATCACTTTAGCTTACATGTGAATTGTCCTGTTTTTTTTTCTACAAAAAGTGCACATTTCAATAGAAATTGGCACTTTTCTAAATGAACAATGTTACATCCCCCTGACTTTCAAACAGACAACAGATCCTGCTAATTCCTGGTTTGGTTAGCTCAGTGTAGCTAAACTCACATGTCAGTCAATTGCTTAGAGCACCTAACTTGCAAAGACTTCTCATTGAGCTGCATTGGGAAGTCTGTGATTGGACAGACACAGAAAGTCTGGGCTAGGTCCGAATGGGAGTGTTTGCAAAGGCTGAAGGCAAGATATCTGCAGCTTTTGCAAGCTGTTTTTTTATATACCCCCAATGAAAAAATTCATAATTAAATGCATACATGTTTTCATTTTGAAGTATTTCTACTAAGCAGTGATTTTCATACTTTCTTTGTATTTGGACAGTGGAGTGTCCCTTTAAAGTTATCATCCTATACCTACGCACATATGCCTTTTATTTCATTTTGGTTCTGCTAATTTGTTTTAGAAATATATATATTTTTTTTTTAAATGTAAACCTTAATTCTCATTTTAAGGGTTTCTGTATGTACATCACATGCCCAATGTTTTTATCTTGTATTGGCTCCCTGTGCATTATTTAGCAATATAACCTTAATGGAACATGTATTATCACTTTAAGGTGCAGTATTTAAATTGTATACGTTGCTTACATTTATTTTCTTTTTCATAGATTTTTTATGTTCTACATCGTTATACTTATCCTATTGCTTTCTCAATATACACATAAATAAAGACAAAATATGTTAAAAAGAAAAACACATTATTTGTAAGACATATCTTGAATTTGTCTTGTATAGTGCACACTTTACAGATTACTTTCTATTTTTTTGTCAGCTCAGAAGTCTTAACCCCTTAAGGACCGCAGACAGACTAGGTATGTCCGACAAAAACGGTCCTTAAGGACGTCCACGGCAAATATGAGCGCTGGAAGCCAGGGCCGACCCGTCCATAGGACGGACTGGGACAATGGCCCCAGGTGGCACTTTAACAGGGGCGGCATTTTGCTGCGCCACCTCTGCTACATATATATGCAACAAGGTGGCTCTCTAATTAGGCGATCTATTCAGCCGCCTAAATTACCTTGGGGCAGAATGATCTGTCAAGTCCCAGTAAGGACCCGATGCCAGGAGGGGGCCCGGCAGCATGCCCTGTGTGCCAGTGGCAGCTCTAGACTTTGCGAGGCCTCAGGCGAAACTCAAACATGAGGCCCCCCCACTAACACCATTAGTGAAAAAAAATAGGGGTTGTCTTGTGTGTGCTGTAGGTAAGGAGCTGTACCTATATTAAAGGGCAAGCTTGCAGGTTTGGATACAGAGATGTAATCTCTGTATTCATCTTCAGAGGCTTGCATTGTCGCAGCTCCTTATGCCGCTGCGTTATTAGCACTTTGACAGTAGATATTGCATAATTTGCTAATCATTTATAGACGATTGCTGGGTATGCTTGTATAGCCTAGCAGTCGTTTATACATAAGTGCCAGTGTGAAGGGGTTATTTGAAAAATGAACATTTTGTTTGGGCTTTTAAAAAAAATAATTTTCCAAATAATAAAGTTACAGATAAGAAAACAATGTCATTTCCCCACATATTCTAAATTCCTTTACATGTATATTATCATATATGTGTTTACCCATGTATATGTATGTATGCATATAATATATATATATATATATATATATATATGTTGCTTGCAACTTTATCTTTGCATTGCCCATATCATACCACAACCACATTGCAGACAGACACGCACACATTTATACACTTACACAAATACATATACACACTGATCTAGCTAGTTTAAAAGGGAGAGAGGCTATTTAACCTAATTACTGCCGGTCTTTATTTTTACTTTTTAAGAAGTAAGGAATAAGACCACGCACAGTTCCTGTCTATGTAGTTTAGATTGCTAATTTCAAGCAGAAACAGAACACATATCCCCCCTTAACCCAAACAAAATTTTTTTACAGTATAAGTAATTTGTGATTTGACATTGCAATGACCAGTAATGCGATAATATATTCACCTTACATATCACATCATGGTATTAATAGTATCTTAGCCCTGATATTATTTTCACTTTAGATTTGAAATATAATGGAAATTCCCAAACAATCTCACTTTAGTAAATAACCCTACAACCCTAACTCTAACCCGAACAGCAACCCTACTCCTAGCACTATCATAGCTATTCAGTAAAGTGTGAATTCAAAGCAAATTTTCTTATTTAAGACTAACATAGTCAGACTGGAAACATTCTTTAAATCAACTTTGCTTCCCATTCAACTACTCTGGCCTTAAAGGGAATTATACCTATAGTAAAACACAGCCAGGAAAACAAAGCTGTTCGGGATCTGCCTCCGCCTCTCCCCTGCCAACGTCAGCCGGCACGGGAGACCTAATGCGCCTGCACGGCGATGGCCGCGGTCTCATTAGAACTTCCCCCATAGGAAATCATTGTATAATATATATTGGAAGGCATGGCCTGAAGTTGTGGGAGGGGCTATAGACCTACTTAAGGGACTACCCCCTTCCCCTACTTACCTTCATAGGTCTAGACGAACAGCGGTGATACTCGTCGGCTTCTTCCCTTCTGGCTTCCTGTTTTCATTACGTCACTTCCTGTGAGACGCGGCGCCGTTGCGACATCACTCCGTGAGTACCCGGCGCATCCTACACACCGGCACCCCAGCCCGACCGGCTCCCCAGCTCGACGGGGCGGTGAGCCAGGGGGAACCTTACTCGCTCGGCAGCTCCACGGCATGGGCGGGAACAGGCTCAGAGACTCCATTACCATGAGGAGTCCCTGTTCCCCC